GTGCTCACCTAGCATGCATGAGGCACTGGGTTCGATCCTCAGCACCACATAAATATAAAATAAAGATGTTGTGTCCACCTATAACTAAAAAATAAATATTAAGAAAATACCCAACATCCTCAAAAGTCTCCTCCTGTCTTTGTATATCCCATAATTCTATATATAATATAGAATATATATATAAAGAATACATAATTCTATATATATTCTATTACCCCCCTTTTTTGTTTAGTTTTGTTTTTATTTTTTGTCACTGTGGATTAGTTTTCATTTTTAGAGTTTTATATAAAAGGAATTGTACCCTATGTGTTTTTGAAGGAAAAGAGGAGATCTGGCTTCTTTCATTCAGCATAATAACTTTTGAGATTGGTCCAGGTTGTTATGTGTATCTGTAATTCACACCCTAGGCTGGGAATGTAACTCAGAGGCAGAGCTTATAGTTAGCATGTATAAGGTCACAAATTTGATCCTCAGCATTGCAAAACAAAAAATAAAATTAAAAAGTTAATTCTTTTTTATTGCTGGTTTGTGTGCCATTGTATGAATTGTATGCAGTTTTGTCCATTGAATGGATAGATATATCCAAACACCTGTGGAGAATCATGTGCAATATTTCTAATTTTTGGCTATTACAAATAAATCACTTATGTATAAGACTTTGTATAGATGTATGCTTCCCCCTCCTTTGGTAAAATACTTAGGAGTTAAATGGCTGGATCATATGGATATATTATTAACTTTTTAAGAAGTTGAAAAACTTCTTTCCAAAGTGTTTGTACCACATACTTTCAACTAGTAGTATATAAGAGTTCTAATTCCCTGAATCCTCACCAACACTTAATGTGATTAATCTTTTTAATTTGAGCCATTGTAATAAGTTACTAGAAGTGTCTCATGTAGTTTTAATTTGTATTTCCCTAAAGATTAATTGAGTATCTTTCATATTTTTATTTGCCATTTATTTGTCTTTGGTGAAGTATCCAGTTTTTTTTTTGACTATTTTAAAAATAGGTTTGTTGTTTTATTATTGAGTCTTTAAAAATATATTCTAGATACAGTGATTTACCAGATATATGTTTTATAAATATTTTCTTCCACTCTGCATCTTATAGTTTTATTCTTCTAACAGTATCTGTTAAAGGGGAGAAGATTTTAACTTTGAAGAAATATGCTTTTGATTTGATATCTAAAGATTTTTTTCCTCAAGGTCACAATGATACTTATAGTTTTATGTTTACATGTAGGTCCATGATTTACTCTGAGTTAAATTTTGTATATGGTGTAGGGTGTGACCTCTAAGTTCATTTGAAAATACATAGATAACTAATTGTTCCAACACCTTTTGTTGAAAAGACTATTCTTTCTCCATTCAGTTGCTTTGACATCTTAGTTAATCACAAATATAAGAGCTTATTTCTGTTCTCTATTCTGTTCCACTGCTGTATTTATCCTTGTGCTGATACTATGTGGCTTTGTTTACTGTGACTTTATAGCAATTTTTTTTAGTTGTAAATGGACACAATACCTTGTTTTGTTTAATTTATCTTTATGTGGTGCTGAGTATCAGACCTAGGGCCTCACTGGTGCTAGGCAAGCAAACTACCACTGAGCTACAACCCCAAACCTATAGCAAGTTTTTAAACTGGGTAATCTTAAGTCTTTTAACTTGGTTTTGCTTTTCCAGAATTGTTTGGACTACTCTAGATCCTTTGAATTTCCATATAAATTTTAGGATGAGCTTGCTAAATTCTCAGGAAAACAAAACGAAATTTGCTAGGATTTTGATAGAGATTTTGTATTGATTTTGGAGTCAGTCATGGTGGTACATGCCTATAACCCTAGCAATGCACGAGGATCATAAATTTAAAGCTAACCTCAACAATTTAACAAACTTGTAAGCAACTTAGCAAGACCCTGTCTCAAAATAAAAAATAATAACAGAGTGGGGAGAGAAGAGGAGAGGAAGGGAGGAGAGAGGGAAAAGGAGGGGGAACACTGTATGTTTATACACTTCTTTTGCTAAATTTATTTTGAATTGTTTTCTTATTTTTGATACAATTGTCAATGCAGTTGTTACCTTAATTTTAGTTTTATATTGCTCATTGCTAGTATTACACGGTTGTTTTGCATATTGATATTGATCTTATTATCTTGTAACCTTGTTAAGCTTGCTTTTTCATTCTAGTAGTTTGTGTGTGTCTGTGTTAGTATGATCTTGTTGCAGAAATCCTATCTATAAAGATAGTTTCTTTGCTTCCAAACTTTGTTCTAGATATAAATGAAATGGCCTAAGCAGACATCTTTGCCTTATTTATTTTTTTGGGGGGGTGGGGGTAGCAGGGTAACAAGGATTGAACTCAGGGGCATTCAACCACTGAGCCACATCCCCAGCCCTATTTTGTATTTTATTTAGAGACAGGGTCTCACTGAGTTGTTTAGCACATTGCTGTTGCTAAGGCTGGCTTTGAACTTGCAATCCCCCTGCCTCAGCCCCTGGAGCCGCTGGAATTGCAGGTGTGTGCCACTGTGCCTGGCTTGCCTTATTTATATCCTAGTGAGAAAGAGTTCAAGTTCTTACCATCAACTGTGATGTTGGCTGTAGGTTTTTCATAGGTGCCTTTTAATATGTTGAGGAATTTTTCCTCATTTTTATAAGGGGACAATACGATATTTGTGATTTCAATGAATAATTCCTTACTATTTCAAAATCATTAATAATTGGAAAATTTGGAGACTAGATCAAATGTCCAGTGTAAATTACTATACTAATGATAGTGGTTAAATAATGTATATACCCACACAACAGAAAGTTAAGTAACCATTATATATTTAATGTGTATACCCACACAACAGAAAGTTAAGTAACCATTATATATTTTTGAAAAATATATAAGGAGTATTCTTATGACACACTTGTTAAAGGAAAACATTACCTGTAAGGGTCGTGTCCAGCACAGCCAAATCAGCAGGTTCCCGCGAGGGCCATGGGAGATTGGAAGAAATAAGGCTCACATGTAGATTGTGAAATAAACAGCTGGGATTGGGTGGAGCGCTGCTCTCTGATGGAGAAGCAGGTCTGAAGAATGACACCAGCAATCTTTATTAGATATGTCTCATTAATCAGATTAAAGTCTATGTAAGCATTATTCTTTTTTTTAGTATTTTTATTTTGTTTATTTATTTATTTTTATGTGGTGTTGAGGTTCGAACCCAGGGTCTCACACGTGCAAGGCGAGCGCTCTACTACTGAGCCACAACCCCAGCCCAGCATTATTCTTTATATTCATGAAAGTTACAGAGTTAGTAACATTATGCAGCTTATTCCTCAGTTACATTCTACAGTTGCAATGTTAGGCACATTGTATAGCTCTCAAGAAAGTCCCTTGTTTAAAGTTACTATTATGGGGGCAGGTTCAGGACCTGCACAGAGCTGGTGAAACATTGTAGTTGTCTTAGCAAGACAATTCCTACATTCCTAAGAGCTATGCCTGAGAGCAAGGTTGAGGCTGGTAAGACTCAGCACAGAGCCTCCCCATGGAAGGTATTACCATAGCAACTGGGCATCCTGCACCTTTGCACAGAAACTTTCCCAGGTACTAAGTCTGCCGCAGTCATGAAGTCATCAGGGACCCCAATCTCAGACACTGGTTTCCAATCACTGTCACCGCTCTCCACATGTAAGTCCTACATATATGAAGAGAGCTACCATATTCATAGATGGAAAATCTTAATTACATGGAGTTTACTTTTTTTCAAATTGTCTTATAAATTAAATGCAATTTTAATTTTAAGAAGTTCTCTGGTGGCTTTTTCCAAAAACAACAACTAACATGATGTTTTTAGAATTTCTAGTAAAGAAAAAGGATCTAGAAATGGCTACAGCACTGTTGAAATTGAAAAATAAAGTAGGGGACTTCCCATGTAAATAGACTTTTCATAAAACTATGTAAGTTGAGAACCCTAAGATAGACTTATGCATACATGGAAACAATATGAGGCTCAGGTGGCATTGCAAATAATATGGGGATGGAGGGACTGCTGAATACATAATTTTGAGACAAGTAGATAGCCATATTTTATTTTCCTACTTTTTTGGGTGGGGGGGGAGTGCTAGGATTGAGGCCTTCCATAGGCTAGTAGGCAAGGGCTCTACCACTGAACCATACCCCCAGCTTAGGCAGCCATATTTTTAAAAAGTAAAATTATATCTGTCCTTCAGACTATGTTAAAACTAAAAAAGATGATAGATTGAAGACACATATGGGAGGGCAAGCTAAAAATCTAGAAAACATTAAAAATAATATTTACAATTATAAGGCAGAAAGGATTTTTGCTTTTGTTTTTTTTTTTTTTTTTTTTGGTACCAGGGGTGCTTAACCACTGAGCCACATCTCCAGCCATTTTTTATATTTTAATTTAGATACAGGGTCTTGCTAAGTTGCTTAGGGCCTCACAAAGTTGCTGAGGCTGGCTTCGAATCTATGATCCTGAGCCACTGGGATCACAGGTGTGTGCCACCATGCCTGGCTTAGGAAGGATTTCTTTTTCTTTTCTTTCTTTTTTTTTTTAGTTGTAGATGGGCACAATGCCTTTATTTTTATTTTTTAAATACTCTTTTAGTTGTTGATAGACCTTTATTTCATTTATTTATATGCCATGCTGAGTATTGAACCCAATGCCTCACACATGCCAGGCAAATGTGCTACTGCTGAGCCAAAGCCACAGCCCCATATAATACCTTTATTTATTTTTATGTGGAGTTGAGGATCGAACCCAATGGCTCACATGTGCTAAGCTACCACTGAGCTACAACCCCAGCCCCAAGGATTTCTTGAATAAGAAACAAAAACTACTAACTAAATGAAAAGTTTGATAAATATGACTATATTGAAATAATAATTTGCATGTATCAAATATTACCTGAAGAAGGGGAAAAGCCAATTCACAAGGTGGGAAAAAACATATCTTACTGATAAAGAATTGATCTAGAAAAGAAATTCATGTTCACCTAGCAGAGAAGACATCATGATTATGAAGATGGTCCTCACAGGGTAAGACTTTTTCACTGCACTACCAGATGTGCTGAGCCCTGGGATTTCCCCAAATGTGGGAAACTTGGCTGCATAATTTGTGATAGTGAAGGACTGCACTTGCACTTTCCCCTGGTTACAAAAAGAAAAAGGAAAGGAAAGGAAAAGAAGAAAGAAAGAAATCCTACCAACAAGCGAGAAAAAGAAAAGGAATCTCTAATTGAAAAATGAGGAAAGACACAAGCATTTCACAGAGGTAGAAACATGGCTTAAATGTGTTAAGCCTTAATGTAATCAGAAAAGACAAATTTAGAGTACATTGAAATTCAATTTTATGCTACTAGATTTGCAAGAATTTTTTTTTTCTTCCCAATCATCTCAAAAACATATATCATAAATTTTAGCACACTGAATTTACTGAAGTTCTCCTTAAGGCTGGTTTCCGTTGTATAGTGTTTTTATATTGTATTTGTTTTCCAGAATGGTCTTCCTTCCCTTAGTGCAGTGATATTCTTAGACCAGCATCATCAGCATCACCTGTGCCCTTGTTGGAATTGCATATATTCAGGTCCTATTCCTGGACTATCTTTTCAAGGATATTTGTATGACAAGTAGCTTTGTAAGATATAGTATTTCCCTCCAGAGTAGAAAGCAGAATTGCTTATAAAAGACTGGTTTCCTATACTCTAGTTCCTTTCCAATACTATAATTCATTACCCTATGGGACCTGGCACAAGAAAACAATGATACTCTAGATGTAACTGCTATTGTTGTGAGTAAAAAAAAATTGCCTTTGGGGGCTGGGCCTGGGGCTCAGGGGTAGAGCGCTCACCTAGCATGTGCAAGGTGCTGGGTTCAATCTTCAGCACCACATATAAATAAATAAAATAAAGGTATTAAAAAAACACATCAATCTTAAAAAAATTGCCTTTGTCTCTGAGTTTTGGATCTAGTTATCCATGAAACAGTGGAAGGTTAGCTTTCTTAAAAATATGTTTTTAAATATTTTTTATTCTTTTTAGTTATACCTGACAGTAGAATATATTTTGACATATCATACATACATGGAGTATAACTTCCCATTTTTGTGGCTGTACATTATGTGGAGTGCAGCTCTCCACCCGCGAGGGCAGCTGAACTTAAGGTTGCTCGTGTGAATTTCTAGGGACACCAAATAAAACACACACACACACTTTACCTTTAAACAAGCTTCAGGATGGTTCCTCCGCTCTCAGCCTCAAGCTCCCCAAATGGAAGAGCGAGGGATAGTCACAAGAGGCTGGCGAGAGAGAGCAAGCATGTTTAGAAATGGGCTTTTATTGGGAGGACCCTCATTCTTAGAAAGTTCCATCTAAAAAGTTAAGGGGCGGAGTTACAAGGGGCATTTGAGTATAGTTTGACCCAAGGGCTATAGGGCGACATCTGAAATCATGTCCTCAAACTTTCTGGACCCGGGCAATGTCCAAGTCACTATGAGATATAGTGACGGTCAAAGCCTCTCCGCTCCAAGATGGAAGATGTGAATCATTCAGAGTGGCTCCCCACAGTGGAATTACACTGGTTGTGTATTTATATATGGACATAAGATACTTATGTATGATTCATTGTACTGTCTTTCCCATTCCCTTCCCCTCACTCCCCCCAACCCTGTCCCCTTCCAATCTGGTGAACTTCCACTCCCCACCCTCATTGTGTTTTAGCATCCACATATCAGAGAGAATATTTGGCCTTTGTTTTTTTTGGGATTGGCTTATTTTACTTGGCATGATAGTTTCCATTTCCATCCATTTACCAGCAAATCTGGCAGGTTAACTTTTTAGCTTGCAAGTAGAATAAAACCTTAAGACTTTTCACAGTTCTTGGTATAAGTCCTCTTTCTTTAAGGTAATGCTCTGAATTGAGAGCCATTGCTTCTAATTGTTAAAGCATAGTATTGAACAAACTAAAGGTATATAAAAGACAGATACATTTATGCTTTAAAATGTTCACATTACTCTTTTTGAGAGAGAGAGAGAGAGAGAATTTTTTAATATTCATTTTTCAGTTTTCGGTGGACACACATCTTTATTTTTATGTGGTGCTGAGGATTGAACCCAGTGCTCCGCGCATGCCAGGCGAGCGCACTACCGCTTGAGCCACATCCCCAGCCCCCCAAAATGTTCACATTACTCTTAAGTTTGTTTCTTTCTTTCATTGGTTTGCTCATAAAACATACATTTATATATGGCTTTTTGTTGTTGTTGTTCTTAATTTTCTTAGATTGTGGTACCATTGGAAGCTGGGCTGATCTAAAGACGTACGATGGCTGAAAGTGGTGGGAAAGAAGAAATAAAATGGACGACTACAGTTATTATTAGCTCGTCTCTTAAGGTAAAGGGGCTCACTGAGCCATTAATCTTAAATTACACAATTGAAACTAATTTTCACATAAAACAATATTTTAAAAGATCCTTCATTTAAGTGTCCACAATTAGTTGTGGAGAGTACAAAGTACATAATAAACTATATGTATTTTAAATCTAAAGTATAAACTTCTTGCATTCATGTTCAACATCCTAAGTCTTTTAAGGCTGGAAATTTTCTCATGTTTTTTTCTCTCTAAGCTTGCTCTAATAGACATGTTAATATATCTAGAAACAGTAAGGCATGTACATATGTATATATATATATATACACCTAGATACTTACATCGATATATGTGTGTATGTATATATACATATACATGTTTGTGTGTGTATATGTGTATGTTTATATTTGTGTGTGTGTGTGTGTGTGTGTGTGTATATATATATATATATATATATATATATATATATGGATTTTTGAGAGAGAAATAACCAGAAATTGATCTTTATAGTCTTAGCAGCATTGGAAGGATGCTGTCTCTGTAGTTTTTTAGAGGAAGGGAATGGGAAGTTGAATACCTGAGGGGAGTCAGTCAGTTCACAGTCTTTTATATTCCCATCAATAATGTATGAGAATTCCAGTTGCTCCAAACTGAAAAATATTTTTCACTGGTTTTATAGCTGTTTTCTTTCAGCATATTGAAGATCTCATTTTATTGATTCTAGCTTCTGTTGTTAATAAGAGAACAGTCAGTTTAATGGTCACTCCTTTGAAAATTCCTGTCTTTCCTCTCTGGCTGCTTTTTACATTTTAGAATTCTATAGATTTAATGTGAAGATTAAAAAATCTTTTGAGGCTTCATGAATCTGTGAAATTATGTCACTTATTAGGTTTTCATTCATCATCTTTAATAATGCCTCTGTCCTATGCTTTCCCTCCTTCCACTCTGAACTTCTATTAGATCTGTGTTAGATCTTCTCATAATATCCTCCATGTATTTTGACCTCTCATATTTTCTGTTTTGGGGATATTATCATCAGTTCTATCTTCCATCGCAATAATTCTCTTTTTACTCCTCTTAAACTCAAACCTCCATTCAGGGATTTTGTTGTTGTTTATTTTGTTTTTCTTTTTTCGAATTGTAAAATATACATAGAGAAAATTCATAGAATATACAGAATCATTAAACACATTTATTATAAATAGAATACCCATGTAAGCTAATCAGGCCATGAAATAGAACATTACCAATTTCCCTTTCCTGTTAGGACTTTAATTAATTATATCAATGATCAAATACTAATTATATTAAATATTTATAACTTTTAATTACATAAAATGTTTATGACATAATTTTTCTATAACCATAATTTCCATATTTATTTAAATTTTAGTCACACAGTTAAATGGATTCAATACTAATATCTAGGCTTCATGCAAGAGACAGATCTAACACCTAACTTTATTAACGATGATTCATTATACAAGCATCATGCCCAGAAAAAACATTCTTTCCTGGAGGAGTCAAAAGTTATCAAGCACAACTTTTAAAAGTGTCCTCAAAAGCAGTGGAAGTCTGTGTTTTTGTTTGTTTGTTTTTTAAATATTTATTTTTTAGTTGTAGTTGGACACAATACCTTTATTTTATTTATTTATTTTTATGTGGTGCTGAGGATCAAACCCAGGGCCTCGCATGTGCTAGGTGAGTGCTCTACAGCTGAGTCACAACCCCAGCCCTGTCCTTTTTTAAATGCTTTTGTTAGTGCATTATAGTAATATATAATAGTGGGGTTCATTTTGACATAATCATACATACATGGAATTTAATTTACTTCATTTCAATCTTTTGTGCTTCCTCTTTCCCTTCTATTCTCCTTTCTACTGTTCCCCTTCCACTACTCTAGTGGTCTTCCTTCTATTTATTTATCATTTTTTTTAACTGGTCCTTCTTTATAGATCTATATAAGGGTGGAATTCACTGTGGCATATCCATATCTGTACTCAGCATAATTTTGTCAAATTCATCCCACATTTCTTCCCTTGTTCAGTTGCTCATCCCTCTGCCTCAATTTCCTTCTACTCCACTGATATTCCCTTTATCTTTGTGAGATCTACTGTCCCCTTTTTCTCCCTAGCTTCTGCATATGAGAGAAGATATTCAACCCTTGACTTTCTGCATGTGGCTTATTTCACTTAGCATGATGTTTTCCAGTTTCATTCATTTACTGGCAAATGCCATAATTTCATTCATGTTTATGGCTGGGTAAAACTCCAATTTGCATATATATCACATTTTCTTTAACCATTCATCTGCTGACAGGCACCTGGGCTGGTCCCATAGCATGGCTACTGTGAATTGTGCTGCTATGAATATTTATGTGGCTGCATCACTAGAGTATTCTGATTTTAGTTCTTTTGGATAAATACTGAGGAGTAGGATAACTGGGTCATATGGTGGTTCTATTCTAAGTCTTTTGAGGAATATGGATACTGCTTTCCAAAGTGGTTGTAATAATTTGCAGTCCCACCAGCAATGTATGAGTGTACCTTTCCCCTCACACCTAGCCAACATTTATTATTATTTGTGTTCTTCATGATTGCCCTTCTAACTGGAGAGAGATGGATCTCAATGTAGTTTTGATTTACATTTCCCTTATTGTCAGGGATGTTGAGCATTTTTTCATATATTTATTGACCATTTTTATTTCTTCTTTTGAAGTATCTATTTAGTTATTTTGCCTATTTATTTATTGGGTTACTTGTTTTGGTGTCAAGATTATTTTTTTTGTGTGTGTGTGTGTGTGTTCTTATACATTCTGTATATTAATCCCCTGCCAGAGGACTAACTTGCAAAGATTTTCTCCCATTCTGTAGGCTTTCTTCATGCTCTTAATTTTTTTTTAAATTTTTTATTGTTGGCTGTTCAAAACATTACATAGTTCTTGATATATCATATTCACACTTTGATTCAAGTGGGTTATGAGCTCCCATTTTTACTCCATATACAGATTGCAGAATCACATCAGTTACACATCCATTGATTTACATATTGCCATACTAGTGTCTGTTGTGTTCTGCTGCCTTTCCTATCCTCTACTATCCCCCCTCCCCTCCCCTCCCCTCTTCTCTCTCTGCCCCCTCTACTGACATTCATTTATCCCCCTTGTATTATTTTTCCCTTTCCCCTCACTTCCTCTTGTATGTATTTTTGTATAACTCTGAGGGTCTCCTTCCATTTCCATGCAATTTCCCTTCTCTTTCCCTTTCCCTCTCACCTCTCATCCCTGTTTAATGTTAATCTTCTTCTCATACTCTTCAACCCTACTCTGTTCTTAGTTACTCTCCTTATATCAAAGAAGACATTTGGCATTTGTTTTTTAGGGATTGGCTAGCTTCACTTAGCATAATCTGCTCTAATGCCATCCATTTCCCTGTAAATTCTATGATTTTGTCATTTTTTAATGCAGAGTAATACTCCATTGTGTATAAATGCCACATTTTTTTTATCCATTCATCTATTGAAGGGCATCTAGGTTGGTTCCACAGTCTTGCTATTGTGAATTGTGCTGCTATGAACATCCATGTAGCAGTGTCCCTGTAGCATGCTCTTTTTAGGTATTTAGGGAGTAGACCGAGAAGGGGAATAGCTGGGTCAAATGGTGGCTCCATTCCCAGCTTTCCAAGAAATCTCCATACTGCTTTCCAAATTGGCTGCACCAATTTGCAGTCCCACCAGCAATGTACAAGTGTACCCTTTTCCCCACATCCTCGCCAGCACTTGTTGTTGTTTGACTTCATAATGGCTGCCAATCTAACAGGAGTGAGATGGTATCTTAGGGTGGTTTTGATTTGCATTTCTCTGACTGCTAGAGATGGTGAGCATTTTTTCATGTACTTGTTGATTGATTGTATGTCCTCCTCTGAGAAGTGTCTGTTCAGGTCCTTGGCCCATTTGTTGATTGGGTTGTTTGTTCTCTTATTGTCTAATTTTTTGAGTTCTTTGTATACTCTGGATATTAGGGCTCTATCTGAAGTGTGAGGAGTAAAGATTTGTTCCCAGGATGTAGGCTCTCTATTTACCTCTCTTATTGTTTCTTTTGCTGAGAAAAAACTTTTTAGTTTGAGTAAGTCCCATTTGTTGATTCTAGTTATTAACTTTTGTGCTATGGGTGTCCTATTGAGGAATTTGGAGCCCGACCCCACAGTATGTAGATCGTAGCCAACTTTTTCTTCTATCAGACGGCATGTCTCTGATTTGATATCAAGCGCCTTGATCCATTTTGAATTCACTTTTGTGCATGGCGAGAGAAAGGGATTCAGTTTCATTTTGTTGCATATGGATTTCCAGTTTTCCCAGCACCATTTGTTGAAGATGCTATCCTTCCTCCATTGCATGCTTTTAGCCCCTTTATCAAATATAAGATAGTTGTAGTTTTGTGGATTGGTTTCTGTGTCCTCTATTCTGTACCATTGGTCCACCCGCCTGTTTTGGTACCAGTACCATGCTGTTTTTGTTACTATTGCTCTGTAGTATAGTTTGAAGTCTGGTATCGCTATACTGCCTGATTCACACTTCCTGCTTAGCATTGTTTTTGCTATTCTGGGTCGTTTATTTTTCCATATGAATTTCATGATTGCTTTCTCTATTTCTACAAGAAATGCCATTGGGATTTTGATTGGCATTGCGTTGAACCTGTAGAGAACTTTTGGTAATATCGCCATTTTGATGATGTTAGTTCTGCCTATCCATGAACAGGGTATATTTTTCCATCTTCTAAGATCTTCTTCTATTTCTCTCTTTAGGATTCTGTAGTTTTCATTGTATAAGTCTTTCACCTCTTTTGTTAGGTTGATTCCCAAGTATGCAGTGGTTGTCCTCATTTCCATTTCAGAGGATTTGTCGCTGATATGCAGGAATGCCTTTGATTTATGCGTGTTGATTTTATATCCTGCCACTTTGCTGAATTCATTTATTAGCTCTAATAGTTTCTTTGTAGACCCTTTTGGGTCTGCTAGGTATAGAA